ATTTATGTTTAATTTAGTTAAGTTTATGTGCATATTTAGCATGTATAACAATTACATGGTTTGATTAGTTTCATGAATTCTGTGAATTTCCTTGTTAAACAAAACATTCTTATGACATCATTGGATGTCAACAATAAAAACCAATACATCATAAAAAACCTATGTAAATATTATAGGAATACTATCAATCTATCTTAAATCAAAACAAGAAAAGAGACCTGTCATTGAAGAAATTTTTTGTAAGTACTGCGTTTCCGAATTCAGCATTTCTTGTTTTTCTAAAGTTTTTATTGCATTTATCTCCTCCATTATTGGTTGAATATCACCATCACAGTTATCTGAAATAGAGCAATATTTTATAAAAAATATCTGTTTAGTTAATTACAGAAAATTAAAACGAAAGTATCAAAATTATAATACAAAACTAACCTAAAAAAGATACAACTTTATCTAATCGTTGTAATTTCTCCATGAAATTTTTATTTAATTCAGTTTTCACTTCAGTAAACTTGTCAATCATGATGGAAAGAAGTTTCCTCGATGAACTTTTTATCGGCTTCGACATAATTTTTAACCAAAAACACAAGTTCAAATTCGCAAAAACAACAAAATTCAATATTCTTGAATTGTCTAACGTAGTGTCAAACTGACAGTTCTATGTTGTTGCCATATGAAAACGGAAAAATAGGTGGTGTCACGTTTCGCTTGCCAAACTCTAGAGATGGGTGATAAAATTAGGTAAGGATTCGCTAAAAGTATTGAAACTTTTTTATTTCATATCGATACATTTGAAGGTTTTCTTTTTGGGTTTTTTTTTTTGTCATAAACATTTTACAACTCATTTATATTTGTTGACAGGGCTCGCACTTTACAGCCTGTCGACCTATAGATGGATGAGTCATTAGTACGATAAAGAGTGTTCTATTTTTTTATACATGCATGTAGTATGTCTATCCACTAAATGCATGGCATTTGATAATTAGATATCAAATCCCGATGATTTTTTAAAATTAGTTTTTAACTTGGAGAAAAGTATATATTCTCAAAATTGACTTTGTAATTTTGAATTATTATATTAAAGTTCAAGAAATGACAAAAACATGTGAGTAGCTTTTTTTCCAAAATTGCCGGCGTTCCCTATTTCTTGGATTTTTTAAAAAGCTTAGTAAATGGCTTTTTCTTCCTGTATTTCTTTTTGGCAGTTCCTATCAGTAGAAGCTATCAGTAAATTACTATAAAGTACTCGATACCTACAGGCATCGATATTTTATGTATCTTTCTAACACTACTTTGACATGACAGTTGATGACGTCACAGGCCAGTAAACAGAATCGTGATTGGTTGTGAAGACGACCAATTATAGGACGTTTTCGTCGTTGAATAAATTCCTAAAAATATTGCATTTTCTTTACGGTATTTTACTAAATCTAAACATGTTTTTTCTTTAGATGTTAAGAAATAAGCTTTATTAAATTATTATCTATCAGGATTACCACAAAATGCAACTTATTTTCGATAGTGTCAAATACCCTATTAGAGCTGGTTAGTTTCTTGCTCGTTCTTTTTATCAGCCAAAAGACGTCCTGAACGAGTGGTAGGGAAAAAAATTTTGGACAATTCAAAAGTACTTTTAAGAAGTCTATTTGATTGAATAAAGATTATTTTGACTTTGACTTTGACGAGGTCTTGCCCTTGGTGCGAACAGCTCCTCCTGAGGAAGACCTGGGGTAATGAGCGTTCGCGAGGTAGACCACAAATGCGTCCGAAAGACGGCGACGTCAATAAGATTGCAGGTTCTAAAGGTGATGGAAAGAGTTCAATGCCGAGTTTAAAGGAAAATGCTGTGGGAGACATACATTGATACAATAGAAACAGGCTAAAGAAGAATAGATTATTTTGCTTGTCTCGCATTAATATGTCTTGAAACTTTTAAACTCTTTATTATTTTTGAAAATTTTATGATTGATAAAAATTAATATTGCATTCTATAAAAAGGGATTACAAAACGAACAAGCAGAAATGATAAGATTTACATAGTTAGACTTTTTGATTGCGTGTACGGTCTAATAAAAAGTGCCTGGTCTGTCCAGATTTGTTAGGTTTTTTAAAAATTGAATAATATTTTTTTCAAAAGTAGTTCTACTAAATAAACTATTTAGGTTAATTTTGCATTTCATTTTCACCAGACATAATTATATATTAACTTTGTAAAAACATACAAAGTTTACACTTGATCAAATAGTGTAAATTTTAATACATACTGGTTTATTTACTTAAAAGTCAGTCACATGCTTCCATTCAAGTAAATATTTGCTTAAATATATTTAAACTATCCGATTTACTTAATTTCACCTAAATAAAAATTTTATACAACCATCCAAAACCTAGAAAACATGGTGAAAATAGGTATTAAAATAATTAATTCGTAAGCCACTATATCGTTAAAATATTGACAGAAATATGACAAATGACACCATCTAATATACAGTTTTATTTTAGTACAGTCAACTACACGTCAGATTATACAAAAATGTTAAATTTCTCCACTCTATTTTAAACCTTAAAACATTTTCTATAAAGGTCAAAATCCATTACGGAAATTTGATTATGTCGTCTCGATGTCGCGACGAGCCTAGTCGACGCCGGGCCTAACTCTGAATACAAAAAGCTTACACTTTTTACGCTTTTTGGATCCATAAAAGCGCACAATGCTTATTGTATTTTGTGCTATTGTTTTCTGTTTTGTAATTAGATCTTAAAATCGTTTATTTGTGTTCTGACAGATAAGTGGCTTCAAAACATCCAAAGAATCATTTTTGTCTAGGGTTAGTGCTTAACTGATAAAAGATGCGTCAAGTGTATGCGTTAAGGCTCCCCCACACAGGCGCGTTATTACAGGTCGATAATATCGCAAGCAGTATTGCATTAATGCGTCCTGATACAAAACATTCTAGAACTCATATCGAAATATTGCAGGACGGAGAAACGCAACGTTTTACTTCTTGCGGCGTTATTATCGCAGCAGTGTGTAACTACATGACCATCCTAATACAAAATGTGTTGAAAACAGACATCGCAGTAACGCATGCGATATTATCGACCGATAATAACGCAGCTGTGTGGCCTTTATTGTTAAACAAAAATTTATCAGAAAAAGCTGTCATTGAAGCTGTTGTCATTAGGCTTTTTTTAATACAAACCTGTAAAAGCTAATTTAGGATAATATTTTTTTTTCTATTTAAAATTAAATTATGATATACTTTTGGTACGGGCATAATCACAGAAACAGGGGGGAAAGTCATAATAAAATAAAATATTTGCTGTCTTGCCTAAATTGTCAAACCTCTTTTTTGATTAATTTTTAAATAATCGTATATAGACTAATAATTAGCAAAATTATCTTACGCTCGGCTTAAAATCAAATGAAGCAACTTAACAGATTTATATAACTGGACCTGCTGTTGACAAAGTAACTAGGCATGCATAATTATTATTCCTTTATTACATTTTATAAACGATGGACTTCAGGGTAACCTACTATGTATGGGTACCAAATATCAACACAATCACAATACAGCTTTGTGAAATACTAACGGACAGACAGACAGATAAACGATTGAATTATAAGGGTTCCGTTTTCTTTTTGAGGCGTGGAACTCTACAAACGCATGGGTGGTTATTTCGTATATTGGTTCTTCAGTAAAATTAGTTTTATATTTTAAATATTTATTGGTAAAAAATACATAAATTTAACCTATTGTGGTATATCGGAGCTATAAAATATTGTTATTATAAAACCATTTGTTTGTTAGAGGTGACATCATTAGGTCAATAAAAGTTACCCTACAAAATAACACATGGAATCTGTCTCATGAAACAAGGCAATAACTGGTACTAAAACAACATATTAATCATGTTGTCATTGTTAGGTGTTGTGATTGGTTATTTTGTATTTTGGATATCTAACTTTGGTATTTTATTAAGTTTCAGTCCCTTTAACTTTTAGTATATTAAAGGATTGTGTTGTTGTTTATTTCGGAAAGATACAATTTTATATTACACATTGAAAAATGTTTTACATCAAATTGTATATTTGATGACAATAAGTGTAACCCCAGAAAATTGGTATGTAAACATGTAAATCATTTTAAATTAAATGGACCGGCTAATAGTTTCTACATCTAGTGACAACGAAGCAGAGTCTGATCGCGATAGTGATATTTATGTGCATAATTCAGATAGAGACTGTAGTATGTGTAGAAATTCGCATGCCTACCAGAATAAGGTGGAATAATATGTATTTGGTTTTGAGACATTGTTGAACATCCCAATATAGATACATATTATTGCCTTAATAAAATACTTTGACTTTGTAATTATGTCTGGAATAAACCCAATTGGCGACCACAATTATATGATTAAAATTTAAAATATATTTTTTGTTTATTTATTTCAGCTCATTACTATTCAAAAGTCTGTTGGGCAGATTACGTCACATATTAGTTTGATGTCATTATTTTTATACATATGTTTATGTAAATATCATTTCTTTTGATTTTATATGAAATTTTTGGTGATTTCTAAAATTAGAAGTTAATCAACACTCAGACGACTACAGCACCGCGTCTGCGAGACTTCATTCGTGAGACGGACTCTATATGTCTCATACTCTTAAAACAAAAGCAAACTAGTTAAATCAATCAGCTACATTTGCGCTGTCGCAGTGCCCCTTATATCATCTTCTTGTAAAGCTTAATTATTAATTAATTACAATTTATGAATATTGACAGTTATAATACTACCCTGTAATGTACATATTTACTCTTTTGTTATAAATATTATGGTTGGAGTTTAAGATAATGGGGCGCTAAGGAAAATACTTAGAAAACTAACCTAAGTTAAACTAACCAAACGTTGTTTACTGTGTTCCTTTCGATAAAATGGAAAAAAGCAATTTAAGAAAAAGACAATTTTGTGAGAAATTTTCTATTGTTCTTAAAAAAGAAACACTTTTCCTCACTGCCCCGTTACGTACTTAATTACGTACATAATAATTTGAATATAAGAAACATTTTTCATCCTAATCTTTTTGTATATATTTTGAATCCTAAATCTAGATAGTAAATATGACCTAACTAAAAAAAATGCAACTTTACAAATCGTTGGGTAAATATTTGTTCATTTTACAAAATAATAAATTAAAATTTTATTGACAGTAAGAAAAATGTAAAACTAAGTTTGAATCTATAAAATTCTGAGCATATTGATAACGATGCCAAATAATAAGATGGCAAAGCTAGCTGCTACGTTGGTACCGCTGCTGAAACATTGTAAGTCCTGAATTTCTATTTCATATGCTACATCGTATGGGAACCTGCACTGGGTGCCATCTGTAAAAATATTTGCTCATTGTTATTTAAATCTATAATACTGCTTTTACTTCTCTTTTTATGTTCTATGCCTATCAATTATAGTGATAGAATCAAGACATCTACAATTTTATTTGAGAAGGCACTAAAATAATAGATAATGCTAGTAATTAGGCTAAATTTTGTATTAATTCTAACAAATTGCGTTTTCAATTGTGTGAATAACTAAGATATTTATTACATTATAGTATACAGGTTATAGTTTTTTGATTACGCAATCAAATTTGTGCCCAATTACGTTAGAGCAAAGTTCCGTCTTAGATGTATATGGAACCAATCTATATTTAGTTTAAAGAGGATTTAACACATTAGTTTTCACACAATATATTAATAGTAGTACCTGTGCAAGTCGCAGTCGGATTAGTAGTTATAGCTGGGGCCTCGACAGAGAAGAACCACGGTGGACAAGCTCGAATTGTGCCGAAACCACCGCAGGCGTTTTGAAGATTAAGTTCCACATTGCCAGTACCACCCAAAGTCTGACAAGTAACTGCATCGGTTTCAACACTAGCGAATGTTTCGTTTTGTCTGAAATCAATACAGTCATTTCTAGAAAAATGAATTTAAAAAGGTTATTGTTTTTAAGTCCTTAGGAATTTATAATTTGTACAGCCTACATTACGATACGTGGAACAGGTCTAATATAGTCAATGCCACCATAGTTACTAATAACTTATTTTTCTTGAAGTCGGGCTTCCTGTAACAACTTTTGATTAAAAGATTTTGTTTTTGATGTTGAGATTAAAATTGTTATTGAAATTACACTACTAAAATTGTTATTAGATTATAAGAGTTTTAACAATACCTTGGTACCGCTATGGCACGGGAGTGACATATGACTAGGTCTCCAACGCCACCAGTCCGAGATACACGCACTCTTGTATTACCATTACTGTCATAGAAATAATTTGGACTAATTCTATAATAGTTAATGTAACCCGGGTCTACATATTGAGTTAATACTCTTGTTCCCGATGAACTGGCAACAAAATCAGCTCCGCAAAGAGGATTGATTATTCTCCTTCCAACTAAAAAGGTTAGAAATAGGTATACAGGTAATTGCAAGAATGGTGAAATTACAGTTTACTGGGTTATATTGTGGAAAAATAATAATACCATTTTGAATGCCGACAACTACTGGTGTCATCGTTGTAACCACGTTTGTGCCTCCCGTCGTAAGCGAGATTGTTGTTATATCATTGACAGGTTCACGAACCAAATTCGAAAGATTTTCTAATTGATTTAAAGCCGTCGCAAATAACAACATCAAATCTGAAAGCATAATTGGCAATGACTTAATAGTAAATCATATATTGATAAAAATTACCCACCTTTCTGATCAAATACAATGGTAGGAATTGTCAACATTTACTAACCTGGAACACCTTCCGTCAGTAAGCGATGCTCCGCAAGGACATTAGCATTATTTTCGATATTACCGGCACTAAGTAAGAATAACAGAACTGTCGAATTGCCACCGACATAGTTCATCGTAGTTTCGTTTCTTAATTGATTCTGCATCATCATCCGAATATTAGCAAAACTTGTCTGCAAATTTACACCCGTCGGGACTGAAACATAATTATGGACCCAGTTACAAAATGCCAAACTCAATAAAATATTTATCTTATAATCTCATCATGATCTTAATTCACGTACAGGTTAAATGCCTTTGTTGAGTATATTCAGTATGAAAGTCAGCTGGGGAGAAAGTTTGATTTATAAGAACACTGCCGTCAGATGCACTCAGAAGTGTAATACTCGAACCGAAATGTCCAACATCTATACTTTCAACGATGTGTGAGATAGCAGGATATACTGCTTGATATTGCCACGATCCATCAAGAACTATATATAAGTTAGTTCTTAACCTTGTATCGAGTCTAGCACTTGTAGTTAGCATACAGTTTATGTCGTTCAAGTTATTGTCTGAAAATAATAATTTATGTATTAGAGAATATGATATAAGTTAAAAAAATACTTAAAAAAAATATACTTACTTATGTAGTTTTGCAAATTTGTAATAGAATTATCTACGAGGCCTTCAATACCACCCGTTAAAGTTCCTGCAAGGGGCAAGACCGTATCTAGAGCAGCCGTGAATGCTCTTGTTTCACCAACCAAATTATTTGTCACAACCAATTGTTGACTGAGTTCACGACGATTGCATGCCCTTAAATTAGTGTTGAATACTCCGTTCTAGAAAATAATCAAGATTCATTTTATATGATTGGATTATGTGACATTTATGGTGAATTAATAAATATTATTTAAAAATAATTTAAAATGTGTTAATAATACTTTAGTCAATGGGAAAAAACAATAATGACTTCTATATATTTATAGAAGACTTTGACGATAATGAAGGCTATAATAAAGACATGCTCTTTTTCATACTGTTGAAGTGGCATAAAATAAAAAAGCATATAAAAATACAAGGAAGAATGCTTAAACAAAAAAAAATATTGTAAGTTATTTCAAATCGTATACATTACCAAAGGCGTATAGTACATATCGAGTAACTGTGATAACTTCAATGATCCAAATGTTCTTAGTGTATCGGGCAATGATGTCCCAAGGAAAAAGCCGTCGAGAGCTCCACGGATTTCAGGATCTGTCATCTCTATATTGGTACGACCGCTCAACATATAAAATCTTGTCGCTTGAGAGCTGTTCCAGTTACCGGCGTTACCTACACTTATTGTCGTCCTTCCAGCCGTACCTTGTACAAGTACAGCTTCAGCCAAATCACCTGCAATTATAATCAGGTAACATTAATTTACTTACTTCTTCTCCGTGTACGAGTAAGCACTTAAATTTTATTCGATACAATCATTTTATTCCTAGTTTAATTAGTGTTCAAATTTTAGAGCAATCGCGCAAATTACATATAGTTCACTTATTTTAACATATTGTAACTAAAATACGATAATTTTTACATTTATCACATACTTTTTCAATGTGACATCCAATTATATCATAAAAAGTTTGTTCATTCTTACATATTGGTATTTATTATGATTACGAAGGGATTTAAAACTGTGCGAAAGTAACATTTTCTTAGTATACCTGACAATGTAGCAGGATAAACAGTAGTAATAGTCGGCTGAACGTTTTGATAATTTAGTACTGAGCCTTTGGTGAGTTCCAGGATTGGCACTTGTTGCGACTCAGATCCCGCTGCTATTCCAGCGATGAGGTTACCCGCGGAGACAGCTCCCCAACGGGTATTTACTACACCAGTTAAAATTGGACAAGCACTATCTCCTAATAGTTGCCGACTAGATACATCTTCTGCGTATTCCACATCGCTATCACCTTCATTTTGCATCATGTGACCATTTTTTTGCTCACTACTAAAATGTCAAATATTACATGTGCATTCATTAAATTTTGGAGATCAAGTTACAGTAAAGATGAAATGATCTAGGGGCTCGATGGTGGAATGGTTAGTACGTTCTACCATCACAAAGATAATGTAAAGCGATCAAGATCATGTAAAGGAAATCATGTAAAGCGCTTGGTCTCAGCCTCATCTGCAATTGTGAACACCCATACGTCCGCACTGTAATCGAGGGTACCTTTTCCCTATGTGTAGTGCTAATCTGTTATAAAAACAACCTACTTCAAAAGGTAATTAAGGTTCAAGGGTGTTTTAACAAAATAGCTGATTTTATCCAAAGGAAAATCATAGCAGAGGGAAGGCATGATATAAACATTAAAGGTTGATGATGAATGGATGAATTATGAACATAAGATAGTATATTTAATAACTTACAGTTGTTTCAGATCTAAAATTTCTACATCATCATCAATAGAACGACGCGAACGAGGTGAACGAACAGTCCTCAACGCACGGTATTGCGACAGACTACCGCAAGTACTCTCATCGCCTCGCGTACGCGCGTCAACGGTAGTAGAAATCATGTTATGGAGCGCACACTGAAATGTATAATTAACAACTAAGTCACAACTAAGTAATCATAAGTAATAATAATATAATTTCTATAAATTATCTAAGGGCTGCTATTATATACCATTAAAAGAGGAGTCTTTTATAGCATGAAAAGGTAAGTTCATAAACCTGGGATTAGATTTAAGGCACATTTGCTAGTTGGTGGTTAGCCGTGCATGTCCAATTTTTTCTACATTAAAAAGTAATAAAATGTTTTCAGTGGTTGAAAAATTTGAATAGAATCTAGGAAATTTGGAACTTGAAAAAGAAATCTTATTTTTTGCTTTTTTATTCTCTAGGATCTTCAATATTAGAACAATTATACTATTCTTTGTATAATTCTATAGCGTATAATTCCAGTGAAACAAAAAAATAACTATAAAATTAGATTTTCATTTATAAAATTTGATTTTTTAAAGTAAGTTTTACCTACTTTTAAACTTGAAGGCAGAGTGTTGTTGGGCAGTACTTGTTGATTACTGGGTATAATTCGTAATAGCAATCTGTGTCGATGGAATGAATGGAATGTTGGAGCAAAAGGTAACACTATAGAGGAGGCAGCAACATTTGTGCTACGCTGGTGATATTCGATACCATCTTGTCGGTAGCTGCAAAAGAATAATTAATTATTTAGGAACAAATATGTAAGTATATTAACTTTCTTTTTTATTACTTTTCAACTTCTTCAAGATTTAACCCCTTTTTGGGGTGGTTATTAGTTTAAAAATAACTTTACAATTAAGATCTAAGTGACTGCTCCCTTCCGTTACCGGGTAGGCTACTGTGTTGCGAAGACAAATGGAAATGAAATTTAATCACTCAAATAACATAAGTCTGAAGGCATATCAATCCTTTAAACATACATTAAGATGGGAGTTTTAGCCGGTGAAACCAAGTTTTCAATGATTTACCATCCTCATCGAAAATAAGGCCTTATCAAACTGTTATCATATAAAGTGAAATAATTAAAGCTTGTACACTGATAGTTTTGATTTTCACATCAAATAGCAGCTGAGTTCAGCAGAAAATGTTCATCAGGCACAAAAAATATTGTAAGGGCGCGTGGGCGCCACTATTATAGCTCTTATAAGTAGGTTAGCTGGTCTGTTATGGTTTCGCAGATGCAGAACTCTAAACTCTACTCTCAGCTGTTCTTGTTTCCCAGGCTATATGTTGCCCAGACTTAATGGTTATATAAAAAAAATGTTTCATTCAAATCAGTACAGTAATTCCGGAGATTAGCGTATACAAACAGTTAAACATAGAAACTTTTATTTAGATTCGTGTTCTATTACGGTTCCTTAACCCCCTTAATTCTATGTATAACACAACTTTTTTACAGTTTTCATTACAATTTAAGTATAGATATTTAGAGAATTCATAATGTAGATGGAGGTCATAATATAGATCCAAAGGAGTTCGTCTTACTACTTATTTTTTGTATTTAGGATTATATTATGACTTACGTATGGAGCAGTTGTGTTGAAAGCATTCTCAGATCCAAGGTGATATTTGGATTGTTTTCGATCTTACGTATAATATCAATAAGAACTGGCATTGTCGTAGGCGGGAGATTGTTACGGTTGACTAAATTCGGATCCATATAACATTCTCGTAGTTCGGGAGCAACGCTGGATTGAGCTGTTGCTTGCGCGTACGCACCGTTAGCAACGGATAACACCAGGAACGCAGCTAGCCAATACATTTTGTTTAATCTGAAACAAGAATCAACGTCTGTAAAATTGTATTTAGTTAAAACGACATTACCAATACAGATTCTTAAATTCATTACAATAAAGTGCGAATTAGAAAAAAATGCAATATCGGAGATGAAGCTTGGTGACTTGAAAACATCGAGCCTTATTTGAGGTTTAGTTTCTAGCTCCGGTCTTCCATATGACTGTTTACTTTGGCACTCGTTTGCGTAAATTTTAAGAATATTTGTAGAAGGAAGAGAAAAATATTAAATATTATTATTATTATATTACAGCATAAAGTCGTCATTAATGAACGTTTGGGTATCAGGGTGAAATATGATATATATTCATTAAAACGATTTTAATAGCCTTACGCTCACGTTTTAATAGCAAAATTACAATTAATTATCTTTTATATTAATTCTTAGTGACTTGCTGAATAAAAATACCTATATAATATAATAAAAATTCATGTATCACTCTATACATGAGTAGGTAAAATGATGAATGATGTTTACAAAACTAATATTATATATTTTTCAAGTGAATTCTTCTAGTCCTTGTATGAAAAACATTACGATAAATTTGATAAAGTTATCAATAGCAGTGACAATACCGGCTAGGTATGTGTTCACAATAAAATTATTTTATCTATATTCAAGGAGTGGTTCTTCTGTATTTAAATAGCTCTTTGTCATATCCGTTTCATATTTTCCGATTGTGTATAAATCAAATGCATTGTTGTGGTGGAGTTCTAACCTAATCTAACCTAGTCAAATAAAATTCTTTATTTGCATGATGTGGCATACACACCATTTTTAAAATATGTAATTTCATAAAGTCAATTGAAAAAAATATATAGAAACTAAGAAATAACATAATGATCAGTATGCGTGCTCCAGTGAAGTAAATGGGCGTAAACTCAGAGGATAAATAATTATTATATTTGGGGTCACAAAAAAAAGTAGTTAAAAGAGAGAATCATAATATTAAAAAAAGATAGCCCTGCGTGCGGTATACGTTCAGTTGAAATGTCGCATGAAAAATTTTCAATATGTACCCTTGTAAATTTTCTACATAGTTGGGACGTAACGAGCCACTCTTCAACTAAGCCATTTCTTGTTAAATTCAAGCAAAAAAATATGTCTCTGATATTTTATTATCTGACTGACGGACTAAATAAAATTTTTATTTTTTCCCCAGGCATAATCCCTATGAGAGCTCTATGCAATCATAGCGATTTGATGTATGAGATTGTATTGTATGAGATTTGATGTATTTTAATAGCATAACTATGAGAGGCGTCATTTAGCTTCTGGATCATAATTTGTAATTTTGGGTTGTCCTTACCCATTCTGGTCTCCTGCCTTAAGTAGGTATACTTAGGCAGGAGATTAGAATGGGCAAGGACATCCAACCGAGCGAGCTTCCCAGGCGGATTGGACTTCTTTCAAAATGAAATTTTTGCGGAATAAAAAGACAGGTATGTCATTCAACCAGTGCATGTTAACAGTAATCACCCAAGGCCCTGAAACCTGGGTCGTCACCAGAGCAACCATCAATAGATTGGCAGTGGTCCAGAGGCCAGTAGAGAGAAAGCTGGTAGGACAAAACTAACAAATGGCTTCGAGAGCAAAGCAAAGTGCACCAGCATCAAGAGGGTTGCAGGTAAGAGGGTCGAAAGTGCTCAATGCCGATATGAACGAAAAATACTGTGAGAGGCCTACACTGATACAGCACAGACAGGCTATAAAGAAGAAGAAGCATAGCTAATGTCTTACATGTGGTGAAACGTTTAAATGCTTATTATTTTTTGAAATTCCGTGATTGATTAAAAATAATATTGTTTTTTATAAAAATATATTTTGATTTATATTTTTTATCAATTTTACATTCACAGTGCGACACTGGAAAATATTCTCAATAAAAAATGCTTAAAAACATCCTACTTTCGGAATATGAATGAGTGCAAAATACGCAATCTTTCGTTTTTGGCGGATATAAACATATCATCAAAATATTTAGGTCATACCTCATGAATAGCACATTTCATTTTGTTATAAAAAGAAAACTACTGATCTGCTTTCGTTAAAATTTAAATGGGGCCACCATAGCCTATTGATCTTTAGAAAAAAAAAATTTGAAAATAGGTCGAATATCGGCGGAAAAATCGGTGAACGTACAAACATACATCGCCGTCGAACATTTAATTTACACTTTCTATTTGAAGTCTGTTAAAAATAGATGAAATTGGTCTGTAATTTTGAGCTTTTGATTGTTATAAATGGTCTCATTATTTTTATCTTATCTACTCATACTCAATTAGGTATCGGAACTAAACCGTTACAAAATACGATTTTGTTTATTTTGTTGAACTAGTTTCGATTCATATTTTTCATGACATACATTTTACAACTAAAAATTAAGTGGAAATTGAAGTTTCTTGCTAAATATACATGAGAAATTAAAATTCCTAATAACAAGAATAATATAATAACAATATAATCACACAATATCTTTTTCTTTCTTTCTAAGAACACTACGATGACTCTATTCTGTTTCCAGCAATGTTTTTTATCGTTGATTGATAATGATACAAGTACTTATGGAAATACTTATATTATCAATCCAGGCACCCTACTAACATTCGATGCATTAATGTCTGACAGAGATAAGTAATATTGAAAAATATAACACAATTTAACTATCCAATCAGCGGGTAAACACTTTAGGACAATTGGAAACTACAATTACTTACTCTAAAACTATAGTCTTTTGTAAAATTTTATAATTCATAACCTTTATATTCATTCCAAAAGAGGATCAAATCAATGTAACGAAAAACAAAGTTGGAACAATCAAATCAAACATAACACCTGGAAAAGATATTGAAATCTAATATAAAGTCATGAGAATATTAAATTTTATGTCTCTCATTGTCTCTGAGAATTGTGAAACCATTTCAGTACAAGATAAGGGTCTGATAAGGTCATTATGAGTATTTCATTACGTGTAACTATGACTAAAAGAGAGCATAGAAGTAAATATCTACCGTGTATGACATTAAGGACAGTATAAAGTTAATGATTACATGTCATAGACTACACAGATTTTATCACCTTAAATAAAATGGCAACTTCCTGAAGATTGATTGATGTGATTCTTTTATTTAAATGTACGAGTATAAATCACTTAAGCAATTCAAATCCTTCATTATAAAAGTAATTTTTTTTTTCAAAGGAAGTGAATGCGAGTGAAATTATGCAGCAATGATCATATTCTAAACATATTCTTAATATTTATCTTACCTTTATATTGTTCTCAAAAGTCTGTTTGGACGTCACTGAATCCAAAAATCACCTCACAAATTCCAAAATCACATGTCCGAATACGTGTTTATTCTACTGTCAAATAAATTAATCTGCTAATATCGATTATAAATGCCTGCCAATGGTTCAAACTGCACCCTTCTCGCAGAAAAGACTGGTACTGTACAAGTTCTATGATAAGATATGGCAAAGCAGGTCTAGATAAATTTGTAACAAATGATACACGGTACATTGTTATCACCGTATATCTGTTTTTGTTGGCGATTACAGAGATAGCACTAGATTATTTTGAAGCTTATGCAGTGTACTAATTTCTGAATATAGGGTTATAATAATATATTGAAATATATATTATTTAGTTATTATTATATCAGCCGAATCTCCACACGACAATAGGTTTCTCGTTCTCCTTCAAACTTTTCCTGGTAAGCCTTACCACCCGGCGTGGTATGACAATTTTGAGAGACTCGGGAAACTGGTAGAATAAGAGTCCATACAATATCTAATGTTTCTCTCTCGAGAGAGTCTAGTCGAGAGACTCAAGATTCTGACGACGCAAGATGAAAAAGGACATTTTCGGCTGCATTTTTGCATCCGAAAATTTGTCAACAAATTTAAAAAAGGGCAGAAGTTAAGGCAAAATTATTACTTTACTGCAATGGTTAATGTTAGTTACTGTGTTTAGAATAGAATGAAGACATAGTTTACTATCTTGTATTTTTCAAACAAACATATTGAGTTCATTAATAAATAGTCCACAAAAAGTACATTACTGTTAATCCATAAAACTGTTAATTGCTCGAATATGCATTTTAAACAGTAGCTCTAATAGCTCATTACATTGCTGGATCTTTGTCCAGCAACACGTTTGGTAGAAACCACAGATATGTTCTGTGGTAGAAACCAATTATCCAGCTATAAAAATGAAACACGGTGATCGGGCCGCATTCATTGAGCCAATTTTGTTATTGCATAAATAATAATGGTTTGGGTAGTCTTTTTTTACATTTTTCTTTTTCTCCAAATTTGTAAAAAACTATAATTAACTAAGATAAATATCCAAATTTATATACTAGTTACAAATGCCCTTCTTTAGGAAACTCAGATGGACAGTTTGCAATAAATTCTTCAATGGCATTTTGTATTGCCTCTCGGGTGTTTACTTTTATTCCCGTCAAAAAATTGACCAAATTTTGGACGAAATCAGAAGTTCGTAAGCGCAAGGTATAACAGCGAACATCAGGGGCCTTTTGCAATCCCTTTTAATTTGCAACTATTTGACAGGTGATTTTCGCAACATTTTTTGAAAGATATGGCGCAAACGATATCGTTGATTTGAATTGTTAAAAGCAAAGCGATAAATGCTCGAAAGCTATTAAAAAATGTCAAACGATTGCAATCTTTCGACGAATTTTTATTGTTTCTTGATCATTCGTTCCAAAAGTTATTGCGTCTTTAAAAGTCATCACTATAACTTTGAAAGAAATTTCGTTAGATTCCAAAATTAGACAATCAGCCCATGTTCTTGTAACTTAATTAACAATCAACTTAATGAGTGTGTGCGGATACGTTTTTACTAAATGCATCTGTCTGACAGTAAATTCACGTTATCTAATTAAAATCGTTACCAAGGTACAATGATCTTAGGGTTAATTGCAATCGCAAATACATAATTACAGGTATCTCTGATTTTCCTGAATTTATGTTTAGAAACTGGAACAAATAAATGAAAGAAAATTAAACAGATCGTTTCTGTTTTTAAAAACATTTTTAATTAAATATTTTTAGTAATACTTACATACGTAATATAATAATAGCTATCCAGTGGTGGATTTACCAGCAGGCTGAGTAGGCTGGAGCCTAGGGCGGCAAATTTCACCGATTTTTTTTTATATATATTATTTATACACTTTATTGCACAACTAAGTAAGATATACACAATGTGCAATAGAACAGCGATATCTTCCGTACTGAACACTCTTACGAACGTTATCCCTATATGAAAGATCACTTAACGCTCTGTAAAATATTATATAAGTGATAATTATTTTTTATAATATTCCAATAGCGTTTCAATATTACAATTGAAATTCTATAAATATGTGACATATTTATTTTACATTTAAATATTTATTTTCTACTAGGTACATACGTATGTATTTACGTAGTCGTTTTGAGTTGCGGCGCGGGATCGAATGGATCATTATAAAGTCTCTCTGTTCCTGCGAAAACAGAATTTGGAGAACTTTTATACAATCTTCATACTTTGTTTTTATGAACATCTTAATACTACATTGTGGAAAAATAAATAAAGAAATAAACTTGGATATAGCATTTCGCATGGCGCTATCATCATAATCTGCCGTGTTACGCCCTCTCCATTGCAGAAGCTCAGGCCTTCCTTATGGATGTTTAAAGACGATGAGCCATGACCCTCCACACGGGCCTAATACAGATTGGATGGTATTAAATACTGCCGATGCAGCCGGACCAATGGCTTAACGTGCCTACCGAAACACGGAGTAGCTCGAGATAATATTTTTTTGGTCACCGTGGTTCTATGGATTGCGAAATGTCGTGGTTTCAAATCCCATCTTTTAGTACCAAGGACAATGTGGACTTTTTAAGCATTTTTTATTAAGAATATTTTCCAGTGAAGCATTTCGAATGTAAAATTGATAAAATATAATATCATGATAACCTTATAATTTGTACATACTGCTGTTTTTGGTCAATTGTATGTACTCTTCACTAAATCGTGGGTTGTAAAAATATAGAACCATCCCCTATTTCACAATCAGGCTAATAACGACTAAAAGCCGATGAAATGAGGACTATAAAACTCAAATCATAAAGTTGCAATTGCATCAATAGAATAAATGTAATGAATATGATAGTGAACTAAACTAGCGTATCGAATTTCAGAGGTCATTAGGGGCAGCGATATTGAAAATCCGCCACTGTAGCTATCACAAGTAATTTTTTGGATAGGTGTCATAAAAATCATACTAATGCAAAATACGCTCTCTTGATTTTCGATGATATAAAAGTATTAAGTGATTTTTTGGTAAGTATTTGGCAAAATACGTCTAATTATTTTGTCACAAAAACAAAATTATCTACTCATCCGATATCGATGAAATTGGGCTCCCTAATATAAAAAACAAAATTTGAAAGTTGGTTAAGAATTCACTTAATATCCTATTCATATTATAAATTTGAAAGTTCTTTTGTTTGAATGTTTGTCTGTCAATCACGATAAACTAATAAACAGACTTTGATGAAATTTGGTATTCAAGTGACTTTGATAATATGATACTTTTTAGCCCACTAAATAGTTCCCTGGGGACCACGCGAGCGAAGCCGATGAAAGCTAGTAACGGAATTTATACGAACAGAGATCCTCCTCTTTTTTGGAATTAGGTTGAAGAGTATTCAATAAAAACTTCTTATAAGAGAAACCTTTTGAAGCAAAAACTTATCGACGAGGATGGGATTCGAACCCACGCGTGCAGAGCACATTGGATTAGCAGTCCAACGCCTTAACCACTCGGCCACCTCGTCTTGTACTGCTAGTGTTCAATTTTATAATAACTTAAAACAATTCATATTATTCTTACAAAAAAAAATATTGATAATATGATAATTATTTTTAAATAATAATAAATATAGTGTCATCCAATTTTAGTCAATTACTTTAGTCAAGTTTGATATTTAAATGTATTTAATTTTTAATACAGTATTGCAGTGTTGATTTTTATAGATTATTTAAGACGTATATCCATTATTAAATTATTAGCTTTTCTTTTAGTCCAAAACATCAATGAAATGGTTTATATTTTTTTTCCCTGTACTTAGCGACATCTGTCCACAATTACAAGTATCAAATTGCTGTGACCTTGCGTCATCAACACGGTAGCGCAGTATAGCTGCTTTAGTTTATTTAGAACTACGAGTGTTGTAGTTGATCCTTCTTTCTGTAGATGTCGTTAGTATTGGGCTTTGATGCTGTTTAATAAAATTTCATTCCGATTTTGTTTTTGATAAACTAATATATAAATTCGGGTTAACTTTAATCAGATAACTTTTAAAATCGGTATTAATAATAATTAATTAATCAATATATTACAACAAATACTTATAACCGACTACAAAAACGGCGATTATAATGTTATTTTTTATGTTGTTTGGATATCTTCTTTATAAATATTTTTTAAAGCCCCATATAATTATTACAAGTTTGAGTTTAGGAAGTAACTTTTTGTAAATTTTTGTCAACCTAAACGTTGTTTTTCACAAAAACCCACAGAAAATAATCCCGCAGGACCCTAGGGAAGTATCACAGTCTCCAATACTTTGAATGCGGAGCCCCTGTCTCATAGCCACATTTCTGTGGCCACATATAATAACGACTTCGTAATGACGGAAAAATATTATTTTCATTGTAGTCTCACATGAAAAAAAAAATCATATGTAGGTGTACGTGATAATTTCTTCAGTTTTCAAAATAGGGTTGCGCCGTAACAATATATTCCGAGACCAAAAATATTGAGAACTCGTGACTTAATTAATTAAATTCATAAACTAATGTAACTAGTCAAATGCTCGATATTAGCCAGTTACACTTAGTGGTACTTTATATTTTGTACATTATGATGTTTGTGTAAGAATTAGTTGGTAATATAAGGGAGAGGAGTCGATCGGTTGCGTAGCAACCCACCCCTCATTCGCCGTCTACAGTCTAGTCCTGGAGGTCGCTCATCTCTTCCCTCTGATACATTACATACCTACCTAACTACCTACGCAGTTACAATTATATTTGTCGACAATACATTACCAAACATTTTTAAAAGTTACCATTTTCATAACAAATGGCATGTTTTTAGGGTTCCGTACCCAAAGGATACAACGAGACCCTATTACTTAACAGATTATGGCATTAAAATCCAGTTTTTAATTATTTATTAATTTAAAACAAGGTACACCTATACTCATTCTACACTTATATCTGGCAGAATCTCGATATATGGCATTAATACATAGACATATGACATTCGTTTATAGAACTTTTCCTTTACCCAAAGACTAATGTGATCAGACGATAAAGGAAATTAAAAAAGAAAAGAGAAATAAATAACAAATCGAAGGGATGAGAAAGCCCACAACATAACTAAATATTTTTTGTTCCTGGCATAAATTTAAAAGTTTTATTACTTTAAATTTAAAGAGATTACATACACATC